TACACACATAGAAATGTATAAATAAAGTTATATAATATAAAAAATGCAATACAAAACTTTGAAATTTGCTATTTATATATATATAAAAATTATTAACTATGTTTGGTTTTAGATTTGTAAGTGATCATTTGCATGAATACCTTTCATTATCTTCGAGAGTACGATGCTCATCGCTGCCTTGTGTCACCTCAGCCAATGATGATTCCAGAAGAGTTGCGTCGGCCGACTGTATGGTAGCAGCATTAGCAACTATACCAGAGATAGATTCTTGTTCGGGATCAGATTGATGAAATGTAATGTTTCCTTGCTGCAGTCCACTCACGACATTTTGACAACCAGTTGTAACTTGTGTAATTTGCACCGGGGCAGTACTATTAGATGTCTGCGGTTGTATCTGCTGAGTCGAAGATGCGATCACTTGAGATTGCACCGACGCTCCAGAGGGATGAATCGTCGACGAGGTTTGCTGCGTCGTCTGAGGAACTTTATGAATATTTTGCATGCCTTGCATCCCCTGTATGGCAGTTAGTGGCTCGGAAATTTGGGTCATCTGCGGGTTTTGCGTTTGCAAAGGTTGCTGACAGGAAGCTGCGTCCGATTGATGCTGCGTTACGAGAATATTCGGTGTCTGAGAGGTCGAGACTGAAGTTTGCTGCACCGGCTGACAAATATTCTGCACTGGTAAGGATTGATTTTGCGTGCTCACCGTCACATATGTTTCCTCATTTGAATGAGGAATGTTTTGCTGTGATGTCACTGTGCTATTACTAGTTTGAGTTATGATAGGAATAGAACCTTGGGGCATACTCTGAGGCTGCCCTAAATTGTTAGGATGAGTGGCTTGCAAATTGGAGGGTAACGTAGATCCTTGACCCCCTTGCGGAGGTTGCTGTTGCTGTTGCTGAGTGACTATCGGTTGAGTTTGAGATTGAAAATATTGCGGGATCTGTTGCGTAGGCGGCTGCTGCACTTTAGCTTGGGTTTGCGTAGGATTATGCTGTACATTGGGAGGTATTGAATTATTTACTGCATAATTTGCACTCGAAACCGATTGTGCAGGATTACTCGAAACAGCGATCGATGAATGCACTTTGTCCGGGTGAGACGATACCGGTCCATTAGTGTCAATATTAATTCCTTTATCGTCGGTCACTACGGATTGTTTCGCAGCGTCCGGGACAACAACTCCGCTATCGGTCACTCCATAAGATATGCACACCTCGTTTGGATCGGACACCTTGGGAGTACCGATAGCTGTCGGTTGATTGACAGACGTATGATCCAAGTAATCCATGCAGGTCCACCGTCCTCTCTTGAACGGCTCCGTACTTTCAATCTTGACCACTTTGAATCTCTCGTTCCTACCATGGGAGTGAACTTCTCGCAGATCAGAGTCCTGCTTAACATTACTCGACAGTAGATTGATTATGTTGTTGTCAGTGACAGATGTTATATCCAGAGTATTGATATTGCTATCGTTAACCGAATTACTGACGTTGCTACCCTCGGAGGGTACGATCGCCAGGCCGTATTGCGAGCTGGTGGGGATCACCGGTGCCGTGCTGAGGGCGGCGTGGCTCGTGTTGAAGAAGACGTCCTCCTTGGAGAACGTGTCCTCGGAGTAGCTCGGCGTCTCGATGTCGAGGTCGGTGATGCGCGAGTGCTCCACGGAATTGTCCTCCGTGTGCGACTCGTCCAGGTCGTCGTTGGAATCCTCGCCGGCGTCATTGCTCATGCGGCAGCCTACGGTGACGCTGGTGATCTGAAAGGACGACGTTTTCTTCCGATTGCACTGACTCCCGCCGATCGTTCCCGCTTGCACGTTGCCCGGGGCGATCAGGGTAACCTGCTGCTGATGCAGCCTGTCCACCTCACCCAGACGGATCGTCTCCGTGGTGGTGCGGTGAACCGGGTTCGATACCTTCCTGCTGCTACTACCATCCGACAGCTTGTGCGATTTTCTGTGCACATTATCTGCCATTATTATGGAAACTTAACATACGAGAGACACGATCGCTGCATCCGTCCTCTCGAAGCATGGTAGAACCGACATCATCTCGTTCAGTCTCTCATCACGATCTCTCCTCATAGGTATGTCTCTTCAATTGTTACCGAGATCTATGCTAGATCCGTGAGATGATTCTCTCGTTAATCCTCTCAATCGTTCGCAGCACCGCATGCTCCAACTCCCGTAGAAGACACGAGACGACGGCTCGAAGGCATACTCTCTGCTTTTGGGATGTTGACAGTTCGTTCTCTGTTACATTATATTAATTTTACGGGAAAGAAGCGTATTCGCTCCAACACCGTCCGTTCGTGAAAAATCGAGTCTTGGCTCGTCTACTGCGCGTTGACAAACGTCACCTATCCTCGTTTCTTTAACAATCGCAATCCCGTTCGAGCTCGAAATTCGCGTTCGAAATTACTATCTCGAGAGCAAAATATGTATGTTATCCATGTTCCCTTTTTATACATGTGTATCACGCGTTATATACTGTATAGGTAAGCGGGCAGTTTAAAAATGGCTTCCGCAAGATTTTGCGGTTTTGACGCTAGGAAAATTTCGAATCGTTTGATTGAGCGATCAAAAATGAAGCTATTTTCATTTGCTCTCGAGCGCAAAATTTCTTCGTCCTGATTGGTCGTCGAACACCTTCAAGGATCTGTTTTACTCTAGAGGTATATATATATATTATATATATATATATATATATATATATATATATATATATATATATATATATATATATATATATATATATATATATATATATATATATATATATATATATATATATATATATATATATATATATATATATATATATATATATATATATATATATATATATATATATATATATATATATATATATATATATATATATATATATATATATATATATATATATATATATATATATATATATATATATATATATATATATATATATATATATATATATATATATATATATATATATATATATATATATATATATATATATATATATATATATATATATATATATATATATATATATATATATATATATATATATATATATATATATATATATATATATATATATATATATATATATATATATATATATATATATATATATATATATATATATATATATATATATATATATATATATATATATATATATATATATATATATATATATATATATATATATATATATATATATATATATATATATATATATATATATATATATATATATATATATATATATATATATATATATATATATATATATATATATATATATATATATATATATATATATATATATATATATATATATATATATATATATATATATATATATATATATATATATATATATATATATATATATATATATATATATATATATATATATATATATATATATATATATATATATATATATATATATATATATATATATATATATATATATATATATATATATATATATATATATATATATATATATCTCTAGATATATATATATATATATATATATATATATATATATATATATATATATATATATATATATGTAGTATATACCTACATCGCCCTGTTGCTTCTTTTCAACGATATAACGACGTCACGTAATCGCTGGCCACGGACAGCTCTGTATATTAATATTAGATCTACATATGATTCTAGGATTCTAGAATCATATGTAGATCATCTACTATAATATGTAGATCACCTGCACTAATAGTGTTTTCAAATGCAGCCTATTATATTTCTGTGAGGTATCTCTTTATAGCTGAACTGGCTACACTAGTGACACCAGTTCAGAGTTTATCTTTTTCTTTCCACATTTGAAGGAGAAAGATAAACTCTGACTAGTGCAGTCAGTTCAGCTACAAAGATATATATCTTATATGTCTATAGTCTACGGTGAAATTTGATGCAAAATCAGCCATATTTAATTGGGCAAAATATGATATGGCGTATCCTGTGGATTTCAACGTTTTGGAAGAAAGGTTAAAGCGAAGTTAAAATAATCTTTTTTTTAGCCCGATCTTAAGAAAATGGATCGTACCAGTGTAGGAAGTTCGTTAGGAAGGATGTTATCCTCTCCTAGGAAACGAATATCGATTGTTCAATCATTAAAAAAAAATAGTTCGTAAGTTCTTTTTAACGTATGATTCGATTATATATAATTATATTGGCACCCACACACACACACATGTTCCTTTATAAAAATAATACAAAAAATATTACTTTAAGAGAAAAAACATTTATGTGTCCTTTTAAAACTTTTTATTAATTTATAGAATTAAACTGCTTTTGTATTATTGTTATATACATATATATATATAAAATATAATTTATTATTATTATTATTTTATCTTGAAATATTAGTATTATTCATATAATTGTATTTGATTTTAGTTCAACAAGCATATCTGGGCGTACAAATCAATCTGTACAAATAATATGCAGAACACAGAGTCATACAGTAGAAAGCTTTGGGTCTCCACTGCCAGTCCTAGTTACCGAAGCATTAACATTTGTAGATCGGAATACAACCGTCAGTGTAAATGTATCTGTAGATGGTTGGGCTTGGCTTGTATATGGCCGCAAATTACTTGTATGGCAATGTAAAGCTAATATTCATGATCCCAAACAAAGAAGAACCTTCAAGACACAGTGTCGTGAACTATTGCTGCCACAAAGTGATTTGGCTCATAAAGCAAATTGTATAGCAGTTTGGGTACCACCTAACCAGCAGGTACTTAAAAAGAATTAGATTCCTGCAAGTAAATCTTGGAATATGTATTCTCAGTATATTGATATATTTTGCGAAAACATAATTGAGTAATAAGAAGAGAATACAAAATTTTTGCAAAAAACATTGTGTATAATGTACGTATGTTCTTACCCAATAGGTACCTAGCTGTATGGCAGTGTCACCAGAGGGAGTAGTACGTTTCTGGGCTAGTATAGCACATGAGGGATCCTCTGTAGAAACCAGTGCTGAACTTGCGGGACAGGAAGTAGATTGTCTTATACATGTACCAGGTCATGGTTGTATTTTAGCTACAACTACGTGCACAGTGGCATTGTTACAGCCACAATACAACAATGGAAAAAACAATATCACATGCCAAGTACTTCGAACTAGTCAAGGATGGTTTGGTGGTATAGGTCGTAGAATGACCTCCCTCATTTTTGGTGCGATACCACAGTCGCCTGTTGCGGAAACAAAATTGGTAAAGGTTACGTGTACATCGTTGGACGAAGGAGGATCTAGAGTTCTCATTCTTGCAGGATCTTCCTTGCAATATTGGTTTTTTTCTCCTAATGAACAAGAAAAAATGGAATTTGATGAAGATATCACTCATATCGTTCAGCAAGCATTCCAGAGAAAAATTTGGGAATCAAGTCCTCAAAGTATGAACACATGGTTCATTGATATGCAAACATGTGAGGAAGGAATAGTCCTTTTAATGGCAGCTTGCGCCGATACATCCGTTCAAATTCATTTTGCGCTTGGATTATTACCTCTGACCGACACAATATTGTCAAATTCATTCAAATGGTTTATACCAATTAAAATTGGCCCGTTATTTTATCATGACGATATAGAGTCCATGCTAGTGTCCTATCATTTCATACTATGCAGCTGGGAAGCAATTATATACAACCAGCATAATGTACTTGTAATTAATACTGCATCCGAAGTCGAGCAGGATAAAATCGACTTAGTGAGGGGCGGCGAGGACAGTATACTTGGTGGTGCTATATGCTCGGCGACTCCAGTATTGTTCACAAAAAGTGTTGGATTTGTCTCCATTACACCGGTAGATTTTGCGCTGCAAGATTTCAATGCATATACAGATGCTACTGCTAGTATGGATTATACTTATAAAGTAAATCAAACGGCGCAGAACTTTTCCACTCTTATAAGTAATGATGAACTTCAAGATATGTATTGCAGCTCTGACGCGACTACGCAATTACGTGCCGCGTTTCTTCTAAGTCTGCGACAAAATAAGATGCAATGCAACGAGATTCTCTCTCAACTTTTCCCTCTACAAGAAGATCCGGTGATGGATATTGATGCTACCCTCGATACGCTCGTTTTAAAAGTTGCCAAAAATTTGATCGACGATTATCCTGCGAACGATCCAAGATGGATTCACCATAGAGATCTGTCAATGACGATAAATGCAGTCACCTCTATGCAAATACCTCATCAACTGGACGGAAAGCAAAAGGCGTTAGATCTTTTTAATATATTCTTGAAGGAGCACAATTTGTGGAGTAGGTTCTGCGCAGTTACATGCAGAGGAACTATCATGTCCACCTCTCATGTACTCGGTGAATACACAGAGAAGATAATCGCGGCATTGACTTTATACAATTTACAAAATAGATATGCTGAAATTATAGACGCAGTTATAGATCAGACATTGAATCAAAAGGAAGCTCATGTGTCCGATGAACTTACGGCACGCGATGTATTCTACCGTGAAGTAAGCACAGTACACTTGTTTCTGCCGACCTTGGTAGAAAATGCATGCGAGATTACACAATCTGAGAGACCTTTGCAACAAGTTGGACAATACATTGTGCAAGTTAACGCTATTTTATTGGCTATATTATATGAAGTAGTGAAATATCGTCAATATAATGCTGAGCGCTTTGTCCCTGCGAAATTCTTGAATGAAATAACTGAATACCTTCCCTGGACAGCGGCACCGGGTAAACATGGCTTAAGGAGTTGTCTTAATACGATGCAAAGCATTACTGTTAAATATGGTATAACGGGAACTAGCGATTCGACTATTAAGAACGAATTGTACGAACAATTAGTTAGTCTAATTGATTTAATATTAGATGGAAGAAAATGTCACTTGGAAAGCATTCGTGGTACAGAAAAATTTGAAGTACTTTTAAAACAATACGAAACGGAACGCGCTAATTTGATACAACCACTGATTAAGGAGGAGCAATATGATAATGCCGCCATGCTGGCTGAAAAATATTGCGATTTTCCTTCGCTTGTGCAAATTTGTGAATTAACTAACAATAAAAATCGACTGGACGGATATGTAGAAAAATTCGCAGCGCAAGATTTTGCTGGATTTTTATTTGCTTGGTATGTTAAAGACGGACGTCAAGGACAATTGATCGAAAGATGCAGACGCGGCGGTACTGCAGAATTGACAGAAAAGCTATCGGAACATCCCACTTTGTCCTGGGTACAAGCGGCATTAACTGACGAATTGCAAGTTGCTGCTAATACACTCCTTACATTGGCATCTCAAGAACATGAACTGGTCACTCGTAAAAAATCGATACTTTCGTTAGCTAAATTGGCTCTACTTGCATCGGATGAACAGGAAGATAAAATGGTAGATTGCGTAGAAACTATTAACAGTGAGTTGACGCTCATAGCTTATCAAGAGGATCTACCAGCGCAAGTGCTTACAATGTACGGTTACGACATTAAGAATCTACGAGTACTCGCACCAAGAGAATTAATTATGTTATATACTTCGAACGACAATGTCATAGCCAATGAATATGATTTCAAGAAAGCTCTCGATTTACTTGATTACATGGAACACGAAGAGGATAAATCAGCCATGAGATTACAAATTTGGGCGCGTGCGGCTCGGCGAAATCAATGGGACAACGTAGAAAAGAATCCTGAGCAACAAGTTCAAGAGACATTATTCTTCAAATTAATGGACCTCGCATATTTTATGGGTAAGTGCGATATACAAAACATTTACAGATACACGCAAAAGTTTTATAAACATATTCATGTGTATACATTTTTGCTGTATAGGTGGGAAAGCAGATGAATTTTTACCATACATTGATATGCTTTTGAAAGAACCAGAGCTTGGAGAGCTTGCTGCGTCGAATAACTTTCAGTTTCTTATAAAATTAATATATGAATACGCTTATCGAAACTATTAACGAAGAAAATATTCGTGAGAACGATACAATAATTTTCATCTTATCTAACAAAGAAAAATTGTTACACAATATCAAATGGTGAAACAGCAGTATTATGTGATATATTAGAATTGCTTGTTAAATTTATCCATAATTATTTATATTAATGTCAATTATTTTTATCTAGCTTTTATACAAATAAAAAAATATTGTATCTATAAAATACAGTTTGATACTTTAAGTTACATTAAATTTATTACAAGAACAAATCCTTACATATTAAATATAATTAGTTGTAAATAAACTATTATAAATACATTTATAAATAAACCTCTTTTTGACGAGTTTTCATAATACGTATTTTGCATTCTTATGATATATCTTACTTGATTTGGTGCCCTACATTCCATTTCTGGAATTCAAAATGAGTAAAATATAAACATGGAAATATGAAAATTGATGTATAATATAAACAAAAGATAGATTTTTATTATGAGAGAATGTGGAAAGAGAATGTTACCTGCACATTTATTAAGGGAAGTGGCATTTTGTATACGAAGATATATGTAAGGACAGCGTGAATTGATACATTTAAAGTCGTCAATTATACTAACGTCTTTGTGTACATCAATTTGCTGACATATCTGTTCTTCATCGAATCGATTCCAAGAACAAGCTTTTATCATTCCATATCCAAAGTTATGAACCTAGCATAAATATTAATGAATGTGTCAAAGCATACAATTTTAATAGGTAATCAACAGAAATTTCAACAGATTATATCATTAATTAATTAATTAATTAAGTTAAAAATAATCATTCTTAATATTTTCCTCATGTGGAATAATTTTCTAATAGAAACAATTCTTAATTTCTTTTTTATGACACGATTTTTTGGAAATATTTACTGTAATTGTAATCTTCTTTGCATTAATTATGTACTGTGGATGCAATCTATATGTAATTGATTTTGAAGGACTTATGTAATCCTCTATTTCATCTTTAAGCTCTGAGGATTCATTCGCAAAATTCGACATAACTATCGGCCTCAGAATTCGTGGTACTAAAACAAAATGAATAACATTTATTATATATATAAATGTGTGTATATATATATATATA